TAATATCTAAGGTGATTCCAAAGTAATAATAGTAACAGGAGAAGGAAGGATACATCTTTTTCTCAGGTCTTGGAACATTTGGAAGAAATTGCTTAAAATGTAGGTTAAATGTTTTTTTTATATTTGTACTTTCATCACATCAGTTTCAACGCATATTCAAACCTAACCTTTCATTTGCTGTTGTATGTACTCATCATAAATAAATTAGAAACATTAACAACATTTTTTCAGTTGATATTTTACATGTTTTCTTCCAGATTTTTACTAGTTCATCCGTCTTGCTTAGATGAATGTGGCATCCTTCAGGTGAAATGAAAATAACCCAAAAAAAAGGAATCACGAGTCATGCAATATTCCCCAAGATACTTTGCCTGGCTCAAATCCTAGAAAGCTGGTGGTTCCTCTCATTCATATAACATCTTCTCCCTCCACTGTCCCACAGAGGAACACTTACAGCCTGCTACCCCACCCCTTCTGTATATTCTGTTCCAATTATCTCGAGTGTTAAATCTGCATTGGGGCTGGTCCTCTGAATATTTTATATTGCTCATTAAGCACGAGTTGAGCCGCCTTTACTGTTGCTGCTTCAGCTCTGCGTGAGTTTTCTTTCTAAAACAGCAGCTCTTTACGCGGCATTGTCTGTGGTGGTGGCGGCAAAATAAAGCAGCAGCAGCTTGTCTATTGAAACCGCACAATGGTCTCACTGTTTGACGAACAATCAGGGGAAATGGGGTGGTCTAGTGGTAAAAAAAAGCTGTTCTGTAACACCTGGGTCACAGGGTTGATCCCAGATGTTTCCCCCAGTGTCTCAATCAGTGCCATATTTCCTGGCATACTGGCCTTTGAGCAAGACATTAAACATCTATTACTTGTTAGTTAGTCTGGATGAGAGTGGCACTGACTAAAAATGTGAACAAAGAACTGTTAATGACCAACATTTGAACAGAGCCACACACAAAGAAGGGGTCAAACTTGCGCGTGCAGGTTCTCCCTGTTCTCAACTAACTAACTGGAGTAGTTAGTTGTCCTTCAGGAAAAGACAGTGAAAAATATCCATTTAATTAATTAGAAGTCTGAATAAGCCATTAGCGCACAATTAAGACTATGAATAGAGGTTTAACGAATGGAAAATTATTGTCATTACCCCAACCTAATCAGTCATTTATTCCGTAATAAGACACAACTCTTGATTGTGTCGCATGTTATTATATATGACAGACTTAGCTGTTGTTGGCTGGATAAACAACACTGATTGGTCAAATCTACATCTGCAGGTCGTTCATTCAACGGTGCTCACAACACACCGAGCGTGACAGAGTTTGCATCGCCTGTTGTTTTATTTCATTTTCTTGAGCATGGGTGCTTTTTTTCTGCATTGTCTTTCTTCACAGTAATACAGTGAGACACATTCATACCTGGGAGCAACCCGGTATTACCACACAGCCTTACACTCTTTACCACTTACCAACTTCACTGGAGCAATAGGGGGTTAATTGCCATGCTCTAGGGCCCCTGAGTGGTAACTGCTGAGGTAGGAGGGGCCATTACTCATTCAGCACTGAGGCTTTTCCTACATGGTGTGGAGATTGAAATGAGCAAATTTCCACACAGAAGCATGCTTAAGCAACCTTTAGGCTACATTCACACTAATTAGTTGAAAAAGGAGACATATCCCACCCACACCCTTATCTTTAAATCATCTAGAGCAAAATTAGAAGATTATGTGTCACAAAAAGACACATTTTATTCATCGGTCATCCACCTTCTCTTACATTTCTAATCTGAAAAAAGTCATCACCACAGTTTTTAACCAACTCACGCAATTGAAATCTGTGTGAAATACATGGCACACTGTTTCAGAAATGACTACAAATTTCAAGCTGTAAATCCACCACAGTTATCATTGTAAACTTCTATGCACCGTGCTGGGACAAAAACCTCGACAGGCAAAGAAACAGTAAAGCAAATGGTCAGTTATGGAAGAAGTCTTAATGCATTTTTTAGATTAACTGTTAATTAATTGTTGGTAAATAACCATAAATAACCAGAAAAGAAATGTACACATTTTACACACTTTGTTCATCTTAAAATTGAACATCAGCTGAAGATCTCCTTTTTCTCCATGATAACACACTCTGTATAATCACACTCAAGGACACACACAGTCACCACCAAAAACACACACACACACACACACACACACACACACACACACACACACACACACACAAACACGTCACCTACTTCCTGTCACATCTTCTAAAACGGCATCTCAGTAAAGAACACCTGACTTTGTTCTAGTCCTGCTCATTCACAGCGTCTTCAAAGGCATCATTAGATTAAAGAGAGCTTGGATACCATGCTTTCCCCCCCCTCCCTTTTTTTGGTGCTCCAGTGCAGCACTAGGCTGTTCAGCTGTTGGAATTTGAATGAGACAGATCTAGATGAGAAGAATGGTTGAAGAGGAGTCAAGAAATATGGATTCCACATATTCGTGTTTGTATGTTTTGAGCAACATCCTGCTGTGAAACAAACGCGGGCCTAACTCTTCCACAAACACTAATTACTGAATGAATAAAATCACCCAGATGTTGCCCAGTGTACATTTATTTTTCATAAGGAAAATCAATGGATGACCTGAATTGAAGGTTTTTAACTAGTTTCTCTGCATTTCCAAAGGTTATTAGCTTTGAGTTCTTGTGTAAAGGCACTAGTGAGTTTTTCTTCACATTTTTCTTCAAAAGATTCCTTGAGAGTTGCATCCAAAAAGCAATAGTTTGACATTTTTGGAAATACATTTGTTCTCTTGCTAAGAGAGTTAAATAATAAGATTGATACTGTATTGTCCATTAAATACAAAGCTAGAGCTGCAGACGGTTAGCTTAGCTAAACCCGAGAACAAACCCTTCACCTCAGTTTTTGGTGATACAGTGAGCTTTAGTCTGGGTTTTCTGTATTAACTTTATAGTTACGAAACATTGAAGTAAGGGCAGTGCTCGTCTGAATTCCATATTCTTATGGGGTTATGGTGATATTCTCTTTTTATGTCTTGATGCCTGAAGCTTGCATGCAACCTAAGCTTAAACTCCTTCGCATTAAGCCATGTATTTTGGTCATGCCATTGTGCTTCATACATGTATGGAAATCCAAGCCAATTTTAGTGTAGGCTACCACACGCTACCACTGTAACATATCAACAGTCAAATACATTCAATTATCTTTGCTATGCACATTGGGATTAATCATTTATAATACTAGGTTGACTGCATCGAATTATTCCTCAGTTCCTGTGCCACTTCTGTCACACAGATATAACTGGTTGGATATTATACAGGGAGATGGGTAGCTCTGAGAAAAGTGGGTGCAGTGCTTACCTGATTTAATATTATGCATAAAAGCCCTGGCGATGGGGATGCTAGTCTGATGTCTCTCATTAATTCTTCAGTTCAGTGGGCTGTGGACAGACACAGCAGATTGACAGGGGATGAGGAGACTTCACCAGCGTCTCCTTAATGCTTTGAAATGGGAGTATAGTTTAGCTTTGATGCCTCCTATCGCTAAATGGACATGCACCCCCCCCCACACACACACAGCCTGTGCACCCATATCCCACCCCCACACACACTGTCAGTCAGTCATCCCAGTGTGAATACATGAATACTGTAAACTGTAGCGACAGGGTAAATTACATTGTGTGCTATCAAGCCATAAAACATCAAAATGCTTTATGACTTCCTGTGAGTGTGAATATGGAGATCAGGAGACTTGGTCTGGAACAGCCTGGAGGCAGATGTGGTACTTTTCCAGGTGCAGCAATCATTGAAGATCCTATTTAATTATCTCATGTGTTCAATTAGCAATCATTTTCTTTATGAATCACTTACAAATGTTTTTAGAGTGTAGCTGACTGCACAGTATCGATCAGGGACAGCACTGACAAAGATTTTCCTACATTATGTATCTTAGATAAACAACCTGGCTGCCTCCATCATATGCTCCTTGACACACACCTAAGTACACTGGGTTGAACATGTGGTTCTCTACAATAAATAACACATTTTACTCACAAAGAGTGCTTTTTTTCCCTCTTTTTTTTCAAATCAGGGAGATGCAAGTGTTGCTCTTGTGCCTCTCAAATCCAAACATGGAAACCGCTGACCACAGAATGCATAATGCATGGTGGGTATGATGGAGACACTCAACTGGAATTACTAAAAAAGTTTGAAGCTCTGTGTGTTTGTCACTAAGCAGAGGGGAAGATGGCAGAAATTTAATATGTTTGATTTTTTCCCCCCACAGAAAATAAGCAACCAGAAGGTCACTAGCCACAGACACGGGTCCACTCCAGCTATCAAGCTGATGTTTAGCTGGTACAATGTTGACCATGTTCACCATCTTAGTTTAGCATGTCAACATGCTCACATTTGCTATTTAGCACTGAACACAAAGTTATGGGAATGTCATTAGTTTTGCAAGTGTTTGGTCATACACTAAAGCTTGGACAAATTTGGGTTAATGAAAAATTTGACCTTATGAAAGTGCTTAATGAAAAGCCAGGGAATCACCAAAAGTATTACAATTTATCCTGAGGGTGGACATCATTGTCAGTACCAAACAGTACTCAAAACTGCATGCGTCAACCCCATGCTGGTACTAGAAGAAAAGTCAGGGGATCACCAAAGTCATTAGGATACATCCTCTGGGCACCATGAATATATATATATATATATATATATATATATGCCACACACACACACACACACACACACACACACACACACACACACACACACACACACACACACCAAATTTCATGGCAATCCAGCTAATTGTTGAATTTACAACCAAAGTAACAGAACAAGGATCACATCCTCACAGCCACAGTGCAAACAATGCTAAAAATCTTCAGTCTAAAAATGTTCATTATGTGTGAATGTAAACTCCAAAAACTAATGACTTAAGACAACATGTTCAGAAGGTAATTACTGTTGAAAGTGAAGTATTTCTTAAATTTCTTTATTATTGTTTTATTACAAATATCACCATCAACAAATACTGAACTCAAGGCCTCTTCAATGAACTTTACAGTGAAAAGCAGCAGGTTTGAGTTAAATGGCTGCAATATGATACATTGTCTTGACGGAGCCTTGAAACGTTTTGGCCTTTCAAGGGTCGCCACTTAATGTGAGACATTTATCAGATGGACCATAAAAATTAATTTACAATAAATAAAAATAACAGTAAACAATATAAATATGAATCTATTTAACATTTTAAACATAATTCACACATTTATAGGTTATAGTAATGGTTCTGGGTTGACTCAAGGGTTTCTTAAGTCAGTGTTTGAATTAACCAGGTATTTAACCACTTGATAGATCAGAGTTATGATTGTAGCTGAGATAAAACTTTCAATCCCTCCCAACTCATGAAGAATATGAGCTTTTAGAGATAGCATAATGATATTTCCAGTGCTTTAAATTGAGCGCTTTAACATTTTTAGGACAACTGACTCAAGTGACAGTATCAACACTATGAAAGGCGTGTTTTGAAATGTGGAGTTGTCCCTTAAGAGTTTCTCATCTTTCTTTGTTTGTCTTGCATACAATGCAGGCTACAATACAATCAAATGGTATCAGTTCTGACCTTGATGGTTTGGTGATACAAACATAAATAATAAATTACAATAAAATGTTTACAGTACATTGACATTCAGTGTAGAAAAAATCCTTACAAAAAGTTACTGAGCTTACAAAGTGTGAAAATATTGTATTTTCCCCCATTATAAAAAAATGCCACCTTGAACGAGGCAAGTGAAGTCGCTTCATATCCAATGAAACAGAAGAGTGGAGAATATGCAGACACAATATGTAGAATACATGAAGTTAATGTGTTGGTTCTTCAGTTTTTTGTGAGAGTCTGTTTGAACCAATGCTACCAAAATCATTTGCTATCAGAAGCCAGTGCATTACCAAAAAGCCAGAGTAAAAACAGTGTGGTCTTGTAATGATAGAGTTAAGAACTATTCAGACATTCTTAAAGTTACAAAGTTGCCTTCGGGTTGCTACAGAAGTCCTCAGCAGTGACATTTTTAATTTCATTTCACAAACTGATTTTTTTGTTTTTTGTTTTACATAAAGCAGTAGTTCCTGAAATGCAGGCTACCTGATATTAAAGTGTTCAGTACTTAAAAATACGCAGTAATGTATGTGTCAACTACACAGTTGTGACAGACAGGAAGGCATTATGTACTTTGGAGCCTTCTGGGACTCTAGCCCCATGGCTCATCAGCTCCTGGATGGTCATCCAGTTATCCAGGATCTTTTTGTTTCGTTTCTTCATCATCTTTTTGTGACTGAGCTCCAAAATATTGATCTCCTTCCTGCCCTCAGCTCCACTGGTGGGCCCCTCCTTTAGACACTCAAGGCGGCTCTTTTGCATGAACTCCCTCCTCTTCCTTTGCTCCCTAGCCCGCGCCAAGTGCTGCTTCCTCTCCTCTTTGCTCCAGTAGCGACCCATCTTCATCTCACTCATAGCATCATCATCTGTGGTCATGCCTCCGCTCCTCTCTTCTCTGATCCTTAGTGCCCGCTCCCTCAGGATACGATCACGAGCAGGCCGCCGGGCCACATAGCGTGTGCCGTCAGCACGAACTTTGACCTTCCACTCTAGACGGGGTTCCCCAGGGCGTCCGCTTCGGTGCACAGGATCTCGACAGAGACTGAGTAGACTCAGCTGGCTCTGGGAATATTCCAGGGATGAGTGCTGTTGCAGTAGCTGCACATAGCTCTGCAACACAAAGAACATTGTTAGCACAGAGCTGTCTTCAGAGGTGTCTCACTCAAAGGTATATCAGCATTATGTTGACTCATCTCTTCTTGATTAGACCTACCTGAAGCTGCCTTGATCCTCCCTGGCCTTGATAGGGGGTTGTCTGATATGAAGAACCATAGGAAAGCCCCCTTCTGGAATCTCTGGTCCTCCCTTTCTTTTCACACCTCTCATCATCTGCAGGCAGGGCAGGGTCCGACTCAGACCGGGAAGGGTTGCTCTGGTCTGGGCTGCTGGAGATAACAGAGCCTGGGTCTGCTGGTCTGCTGCAACTGGGTGTACCCTGGGTCTTGGGGATAGGAATGGGGCTGGACGGTGTGGAGGAAGCCAGTCTGAGGTTTTTCTGGTTGGTGATGCTGATGTGTCTCTGTAGAGAATGATCAGGAGATCTCTCCATACCTAGCGGTGTCGACCGCGCACTCTCCGCCGTATTGTAGGCACTGGAGCTGTCCTTCTCTCGGATCTTATCACTGTCCGACCTCTCTGGATATTCGTGGATGTCGGCCAACCTACCGTGTCGTTTGTGTCCATCTTTGGGGCTCCGGCCTGGTGAGCAGGATGTGGGTTGTGAGGGGTCCAGGTGGTGGGCCTGGCGAAGCTGATGCGCCTGCATAATGCTCTGGCACTCAAGCTCAATGCTGCGCAGTTCCTCATTTAACATCCTCAACTCCTGCTCCATTCCATTCTCTCCTCCAACACTATCTACGCCATCTCCATCCCCTCCTCCTTGCTCAGTGAGACTACACTCTATACTGTGTCGAATGGAGTACACCCCACACTCGCCTCCATTCCGAATTTGACACTTGAGCTCCAAGAGTTGCTGGAAGCGATTCTCTAAACCTAGGACGCCACCTCCACCATTGCGAATACTGACTACCCCTTCATGACTTTGGCCTTTGGACAATGTCCTCGGACCCTGGGTGTCCTGTGGCACTACAGTTGCTTGTCTTGTGTGTGGATGCTCTGCACGCCATCGGTCCCTCAGGCAACGGGCTGGGTTCCTCCTGTGAAGTCTAGCTAGCAGGGGTTGGTGCTCTGGACTGTCTGTACTGCGTCCAAACCCACTGTCTTTGTCTTGATTGGAGGAACAGGTAGCTGTGTCTGTTGTCATGTCTTCTTCAGCTTGATGCTGGTGTATGAAGAAAGATAAAAATAGTTAGTCCTCCTCAAAGGTAATTTCAGTCATTTGCAAGAGCTTGTTTGTTGCAGATCATGATTTTGTTACAGAGAGCATTGTGAAGGAGGAATGATCAGCCTTGGAATTATGTCCATATTGGACAATCGTGCACCTTAAGATTTACATCAAATACCAATGTTCAGCGCCAATGCAGGAAGTAGTGTAGGCCAGGGTGGTTGATGGGCGTGTGGCACATCTGACTTTCATGCTGGAGACCTGAGTTTCTGTCCCATCGTATATTTATTAGTGCTGTCAGTTAAACGCGTTGTTAACGGCGTTAATGCGAACCCATTTTAACGGCGTAAATTTTTTTATCACGAGATTAGCGTTCTTTTTGGCCTAGCACACTTTGTAATTTTACAACACCACACCGGATCTAGCTAGACCAGAAACAAAACAACAGGCAGGCCGCACACACTTGTTTAAGAGTAGTAGACGTTACGTTTTGAGTGGATGGCGTGAGACGCCGAAATGGATGCCAATAATATTCTGAATGGAAAGTTTACTTTTAAAAAGTTGCCAAATGGTTCCATTGACAAGACCAAAGTGATCTGTGTGTTTTGTCGTAGTGAACTGAGCTATCATCGCAGCACGTCCAGTCTGAAATACCACTTGATGGCCAAGCACACAGCTGATGCGAATTCTCCACCCCCTGTAAGCCAGGCGACAATGGATGACTTCAGACGAAGCACATGGGTACCACAACTAAGAACAAAGTTACTGCGCCATAGCTAAATGGGTGGCTACTGCTGTAGGCCTGTTACGTTGTGGAGGATGAGGGTCTGTATTTTTACCCTTTTATTGATGGACAGTGTTACATTGTGTGAGAGATTATTTGAGAAAAATGAGAAAATAATGGGACAAAAGAAATCAAGGGACATTTAGAATAGATAAAAATGTGCGATTAATTGCATTTAGTTTAGTTAACTATGACATTAATGCGATTAATCGCGATTAAATATTTTAATCGTTTGACAGCACTAATATTTATATTATATTTATATATATTTACTGTAACCATGACCTTAACCAGTTGCTTTGGTTGCTAAACCTTCATCATAGTTTATTATATTACATAGCCATAATCTTTCCCTAACCATACCGAAGCATGTGAAATAGAAATGTTGGCATTGAATGTAATCCAGGGTTTTGTCGATTTTGCTGTTTGGGGGCTTGCATAATGGTTGGTTCATAATCAAATCCTTGCTCTCTAACTTCCTTTTTAGTTTCTTCCTTTCTACCCAGTTCTACTTATTGGACATTTTTGTCTCTTGTTTTGATGCATTTCACTTTGCTTACACGCTCACCTCATCCCCCCTGTCAAAGTTACGCTCCTTCTGCTTCCTCCTCTCCTCCAGGATCTCCATCTTCAGCTCCTCCACGAGCTCCTGTTGCTCATCATCCAGCCATACCTCCTCCTCCAGCTGAAATCACAACATCTGTCAGAAACTCTGTCTCTCTCTGCGTGTGTATGTATGTGTGTAGAAACTCCATACAATCATGCTGACAGTTCGAAGGAAAGGAAAAGGCACTTAGCAGGCAGTTGTTGTTATTTGACATGACATAGGTTGTCAAGATAGGGCAGGAAGCCTGTGTAGGGGTGTATGTGTTTACCTGCATTTCTGGTCTTGTCACCAACAGTATGATGCTCCTTGCGTCTTCACTTGACAGCAAGGCAACAGCTTTCTCTCTGTCTTGCACTTCACAGCCATTAATCTGTACATCAAAGACAAGTATAGATGGTCATGTTAAAAATAATGAACTTGTAGAACATCTCAACCATATATTCAAAAAAGACAATCTGTACTTTTATCACCCAGATCCATTTAACTGACAGGAATGAAAAGATGAGTATAATACAACTAACCATTGTTCTCATTTTTGTAAGATACACCTTGAGTTATCACATCCTGACACCCTTTTTCTCTCTCATGCTTTTTCCATTTTCTCCCTCCATTCCAATCTCCAAACCAGACTTGTCTTCCTTCCTTTTTGCCATCACTTCCTCAAACTCTACGCAATCCCAAGGAAAGGCATGGGTAGGCTGCACACTCGGTAAGGGGAGTCAATTGCGAGTGCATAGTCCGACCTCATGAGAGCTCACCACACATCCAGACACACAATTAACTGTTCTTTGACAGGTGGCGTTCATCTTTTCCTCACTGGAGTAATGGGGCTGTCAGAAGAAGATAATAGGGCCAGTAGTACAGCAGGCCCTGTTCCCCACAATCATTCACACTACTGGGACACAGAAACACTACAGTGGGAGAATGGAGGTACTCAAAGAGTGTTACAATAAATATGGAGAGGTAATGTTGGTACACTGCTGAGATATTGCTTACTGAGGACATATAGTCAGTGTACATCAAACTATATTCTAGCACATTATTTCAATAATAGCTTGGAAAATATAATTTATACAAACAACAAGCATAAAAAATATAATTTATACAAACAACAAGCACAAAAATGTTTTTCCAATTGACTTTCTTAGTTTGTGCTGTTAATTTAGTTATGCATTACATTTTTACTTTATAAACCCTTCTATTTGAAAATAAATTACAATTTTCCATTCATCTTTTAAGGAACAGCGGACAGTGTGAAATCCTACCGTGACCAACATGCCATCATCGTCTAAATTGTAATTAAAAACTGACATTTTGGCTGTGTTCAGACTGAGGCCAAAGTGGCCCAAATTTGATTCTTTTGCTCATATATGACTCAGATCAGATTTTTTCATGACAGTGTAAACAGCACCAATCATATGGAATCTGATCTTTTCAATTCTCATTCAGGCCACTTTCATATGTGGTCCAAATCAGATACAGGTCACATTTTGACTTTTGTGTGAACGATCATACCAGAATTCACTTTTACGTCATTCTAGACTGACATATGTCATTTGGGCCAAGTCATGCAGCCTTTGTGTGTTTTGACTTGACAGTCAAAAGTGTGGAGCCCAAGTGAAGTGCCTTGAGTACACTGCAATTAGAGATATCAGGATGCTATGTCATGCCTACAATTTCCTACTTGAGAATAATTTTCCACCATGTTTGGTGACGTTGGCTTCAAAGCAACGTGCTGGTCTTTGCAAAATACAGGCTCACTTTGAAAAGGTAGAATGACAAGAAAAACCACAAAGAACTGAGAGTCTCTTTAGATGCGTACAACTCTGTACACCATCAGCTCAATTTACAGACTACGCTGCTCTAGAGGCTTAAATAGGCTTTCAGGGTAACAGCAGCAGCCAATCAGAAGGAGAGCAGTCAGATGCAGAAAATGTGTGTCCAATGAACTCGTCAACTATGCCTACAAGAGTATCAAATAAATGTAGACAATACATCTACATACACATAAAAGTACATATCATATGTACTTTATGTACTTGGCGACATGACAGAGAGCATGAGAATGGACCTGCAGAAAACCACTAAAGGTGAGAGCTGTATTCACATGGAACTGCAGAAGACATTAACAAGAAACAGACAACTTCTCTTCTCTTAACGAGGGACTGTTCACCTTGGCTACACACACCTTGTGCCACAGATTGCTAAGCCTGGAGTCAACAGTGCAAACTTTACACTTAATTAATTGTATTGTAGTGTGAAAACAATGCCCACTGAAGCTATTTTATACCTATAGTAAACGGATACAATCCACAGTGACCCCATAGGTGTTCTCGCATAATGAGACAGAGTTAGACCAAGACAGAGAGGAGCGCTAGAGATGATGTAGTGCCTGATATAACTGCAAGAGACTTTAATTTCCCTGGTAAAACGAGGTGATTAAATATACATTTGCTTGCCCAGACTGGAGACACCGGAGCTTGGATATCCTCTAAAAAGACTGCCCTACAAGCGGGTTGAAGAATCTATCTTGGCATATTTGTTCAACACAGAAAAACGAAATAGTAAATTGGGGATTTTTTTTGTACAAAATGAGGCTGATATCAAAGATAACATCCTGCCATTGATGTGAGGAATACTAAGGCTTATATCTAGACTTGTTAGAAGCCATGTGAGTTCATAATATAACCTGGTGTGAATGTACTTTGGCCACTGAGATGAAAATACGCACCTGTAGAATACGATCTCCTTCTTTGATGCGTCCATCTCTCGCTGCTATACTGTTTGGCTCCACCTGCACGAAAGAGCTTGAAAATCAATGCTGACAGCAGGTTATTGTGTATCTCTGAAACACCACTGATGTACCACTCTCTTGCCACGGCTCTCTTGTCTGCTGTCAGGAATAAAAGTCTGTTTTTATAAAGCGAAGATGCTTATTTTCTCTCTGACAACCTTGTATTTTCCATATGATACATGTGGGGTTTCACAGGTTCTTGGTGCTGGCTTATATTAGTGCTTCACGTCTTGCGTTTAGTAGCTGTTGACAATGAAGTATGTACATGTAAGTCCGTGACATTATACAAAAGAGCATGTGAGTTATAAATGAAGCACGCCAGAAAGACTGTGAGAGACAAAAGGGAAAAGAACAATGTATGTCCCAAGTTTATGGCACAGAGATGATTCTATTGTAGTTGAATGAATCAACACCTCATGCTTTTCTAACTGCATCCCAGTGTATATGCAACAACACCACAAGCCCTTAGTAATCATTTCATAAACTTTGTTGTTTTTGCATTGAAGATCAAGACATAGCTACATGTGGGAAAAAAAACAAACCATAGTAGAAATGGGGGGGGGAGCACTTTCAAAAGTCGCACTGATACTATCCATACATACATTTTAATGAGCTAAATTTGCATTTTTATCCATTTACAAAAATAGATGCGTTCTGTCGGTGGGAGACTGCTTTCACGATCTGTTGAGGTTCAGCAGGTGCCGATGTTCTTTGTGGTTATATATTCAGATTCTTCGTCTGGTTCGAGAAGAGCAGGTGAGAAACCAGAGAAATAGCAGCTAGGCCTCTTGGTTTTATATACACATAATTTAAATAATGCTAAAACGAGCTAAATACACAAGAGGTCTTTGTACTTCTGCCATTAATATCCTTATGGCAACGTTCTAATCCTCATAATAGCTCTTACTTTTCACACCCTCCTCTTTTTTTTTGTTCATAATGGGATTGAAACTGCACCTGCAGTCAGACTAAACACTTTTCTAATTCAGTTCGTAGCGCTTAAAGCCCTCATAATTCCAAATAATGCAATAATTTGTTTTCATTTTGTTTGTTTCTGAGCTGCAAATCATTAGAATTTTAAAAAGAATCTTTGTAATATGTTTCCTCTTTGTTTTGTGTGTTTGGTATTCAGATGG